ATTTTAATTTGAGTAATTTGATGAAAAAAAAATGATTGACTATGAACAATATAAAACATAAGTACCGATAATTCATTAAAAAATAATGCTTTTAGAAGCACGCAAAATGTCGATGATTCATGTGCCTGTTTTATTTCAATATTAAGGACAAAAGAATACAGAGAATTATTGTTAGTGTACGGTTTTTCAAAGTAAAAAATCAGTACAAAACTCACTATAAAAGTACGTTTGATTATCTCACATAGAATTTGAAATGCTACTTTAATATTAAAATTACGTTGTTTTTACAGTAGTTTACCTAGTTTCTATTTATAAATGTAAACTTCTGTGAACAATGTTATATAAACAAGAAGTTGGGTGAAAAAAATCTTGAATTCTTCCTGATATTAAAGGAATAAATTGAAAAACTTATCCTTAATAAGAAATATCTTTTATATCTAATTGTGATTATACAAGTAATTTTGAAAATATTAATATGGGTCTACTTAACTTAATGATAATATATTCAACTATGTCAAATTAAAATCATTATTAAATTACACCATAGTTTCATACTTTCATATTATTGAAAATGTTTTACTGACATTTTTCTTAAATTTTCAACAAATTGCTTGATTATCTCACATAGAATTTGAAATGCTACTTTAATATTAAAATTACGTTGTTTTTACAGTAGTTTACGTAGTTTCTATTTATAAATGTAAACTTCTGTGAACAATGTTAAAAAACAAGAAATTGGGTAGAAAAAAGCTTTAATTCTTCCTGATATTAAAGGAATAAATTGAAGAACTTATCCTTAATCAGAAATATCTTTTATATCTAATTGTGATTATACAACTAATTTTGAAAATATTAATATGGGTGTACTTAACTTAATGATAATATATTCAACTATGTCAAATTAAGATCATTATTAAATTACACCATACTTTCATTCTTTCATATTATTGAATATGTTTGACTGATATTTTTCTTTAATTTTCAACAAATTGCTTGATTATCTTACATAGAAATTGAAATGCTACTTTAAAATTAAAATTACGTTGTTTTACAGTAGTTTACGTAGTTTTTATTTATAAATGTAAACTTCTGTGAACAATGTTATATAAACAAGAAGTTGGGTGGAAAAAATCTTGAATTCTTCCTGATATTAAAGGAATAAATTGAAGAACTTATCCTTAATCAGAAATATCTTTTATAT